GGTGGGCGGTGCCCGCCGGTCCCGCCCGGGGCTCTTGCCCCCGGAGTTGGGCGGGCGCTGCCCGCCGGGGCAGGGGCTGCTGTTGTCGCGACATCCTCTTTAACGGGTCTGTTTGCAAGTGTGGGCACGCCTCGTGCTGAGCGTCGGCCCCGGGTCTTCTCCAGAATCGCGTGACATGTTCTTTGGACGGGAGAGGTGGTCCAGCAGCGGTCCAGTATTTGCTTGAGTGGCAGAAAACGTCTAGGCTTCTCTTTTCCTGCAGAAATTCGGCACTGGATGGGGCGCCGACAGCTGACTGCTGTCATGATTGCTCACCATAAGTGTAGGATTACTGTTCGTTCAGGATCCTGTGGGGATTTAGAAACTGTAAATGCGAAAAGAGGCGGTGAGGCATGGCAACCAGAGCGAGATGTGTAACTCTCCAAAGGGTGATTGGGAAACAAGACCTTTGGTCTTGGCCGTCTGTATTTTGTGGCTTGAGCTGTATGGTGCGCGTGCCTCCTGATGCTCGTGACGTAAGTCGTGTCCAAAATCCACCCAGCAGCCACCTCTCTGCAAATATGGGCTAAGGCCAAAGGTTTGGTTTGGCCTTAGTTTTTCTAGTTTCATTTGAGAGGTGGGTAAAATGTTCCAGGTTATTGAGGCCGTTGCAAGAGTAAGCATATTCTGGGACTTCTGAAGGGTTTTATGTTACATGAATGCAAAACCTGTTCTTGACCAGCCTTTGGGAAGCAGCCAGTGAAGGGCAGGGATGCAGACTTCAGCAATCTTGTGCTGGAAGGAATCAGTCTTTCCCAAGCGTTGGTATCTTTTTCTTTCTTTTGCCAACAATGTGTAATTTGCTAATACCGGTGTAAGATTGTAATGAGAAAACAGATTGCAGTAGTGTGAGTTGGTCGGGTAAGGGCACCGCAGGCAGATGCTGATGTTGCCTCTGCTTCGGTGGCATCAACAGCCTCGCCTTTGAATAACCTGTTTAGCCAACTCTCCTTTTATTGCTTTGGCTTTTTGCATCCTGCTGCTGGCTTCCTGAGGAAGGGGTATGAGAAAAGGAAAATCCTTCTTTGTAATGGGCTAATAATTAAACAATTGAGTGCGACAAATAAAAGACACGCCACGGTCTCTTGCACTGCCAAAAGGAGTTGCAGCAAATAATGCGCATGGGAACTATTTCCAAAGAAAAAAGTCACAAGATACTTTTGTAGTGGAGATCACAAAGTACTCCCTCTCCCAGCCCCCAGTAGAAAAATCGCATCTGTAGCATCTCACTGTTTTAGAAAAAGTCTAGAAATCAGACAGAAGAGGGTTTTCTGGCTTGACAATCAGTTTTAGTTATTTTTCTTAACATTTTCTCTCAGGTACTCGCATCCCTTGCTACAGGGGCCAGGCAAAAAGATAACATTTTCTATGAAATTCGCACATATGATATTAAGCCATCAAAGATGAAGGAGTTTGTGGAAGTGGTCAACAAGTACTTTCACCTTCGCATAGCTCACTCGGAGCTGGTGGGATTCTGGTCTGCGGAGCTGGGAGCAATGAATAAGGTTGTCCACGTTTGGAAGTACGGTACGCTCAGCATCCCTTTGCGCTGCTCTGCCCTCTCTGTGCTCCCTGTCTCCTAGGCAAGAAGGCGAGGAGAATGCTTACCCGGCTTTTATTTGTTGCTCTTACTGTAAGAAAGTGTCCAGAAAAAATTTGTTCCTGTACTGATTACTGAAAAGAACACTGCACAGCCTGTCAAGACAATTTTGATGTGTTGGGATGAGAGAGTTACAACTTGTTCTTAAACAGTGATCTCTGCTCAAAACAGGTATAGTAGAGGAACTGCGGCAGAGTTCTTCGTTCTTGGTAAATACTTTTAATTTAGGGCCAGTTCCTGAAACACAAATATCTTCAGAATTTCAGAATGGATGGAAAAAAGGTTGAGACCTCGTTAATAAGATAATACATCTAAGTGCAGACAATCTATATGCAGTCTATGTATGTTTATATGCAGGTGTAATTGTTCTCAAATTTTAGTTCAGTGTAACAGTCACTCCCCTAAAACACACGAGCATGCAGTTTGTGTGCTTAAACTCCTTCTGCAGCTGGCCTGTGCTGAGGTGGAAGGCCGCTCCGCCAGCCCCGGCTTCCCAAGCGCACGAAGCGTTTTGTGCTGCTTCAGCCTTGGTAGCAACAGGCTTCTTGCAGTATAATCAACTTTTTATGTTGTCGGAGTCGCTGCTGGCCTGGAAGGTGCTGGTCAGCTAAGAAGAGCTACAATTATGCAGGAAACGAGGTGTGCTGGCTGTGCTCTTTGTGGAGCCCAAGGGAACTTGAGGCTTGGGTTATGGAGAGGTGGGAAGGCACGCTGGTAGCATTTCTTTGTATACCTACTGCGTGGATCTGTGTGCTGAGACAGAGAATTCTGTTTCTGAAGTCCTCGGTCTGCTCGTTGAAATCCAGCGTGTTCACAGTACCTCTTTAGAATAGTCGCCCCTTTTGTCCTGGAGGAGCGAAGGGACCAGCCATCTTATGAATTTATGTGCATCTATGGTTAATAAATTGTCCTGCTTCTCAGAACTTTCTAGCCTCGTTCTTTCTCTTGAAAGAAAAAAACATTTTTAGTAATCTGTGAGAAAGTTTCAAAATGGAAAACTAAGGAAAAAACTACAATTTTTTTTCCTGTTTGTTTCCTAATGGTGTTTACGTGTGTAAGGTACAACATCCTTTCTGCTTGGTTCGTCAGACCCCTGCTTATATCTTTTTAGTAGTTAAAAATAATTGGTATATTTTTCTCTTGGTCCCAAGATACTGATATTTCTCAAGGTTCTTCCCATTCTCAGATGCTGGATTTTTCTCTTGTATTATTGAAAGCTGGCTGCATAAACGTACTGCTTAAGATGCCACTGCAGCCTAACCAATTGAAATTCAGACACTCTTAATTCAGTGGATTTGTTTTTAACTAAAAAAAAAAGAAGAAAAGGTTTAGATTTTGGGCACTTAATAACTTCTTATGTAGCTGAACAAACAAACATTATTTCTACACTTGTAATTTTAATGTCATTTTATATAAGCCAAAACTCATGTTTTTCTTAATTTTCTCCTGGTAGGCTAATATTCCTTCTGAATTTTCTTTTCCACTTCACTGCCTTATCCACTGTGCTTTCTGCAAATCTCCTTATTCTTTGTTGCCACATCCAGTAGTCCCTGCGGATGCCATATATGAATCTTTCTTAACAGTATTTCTTAATGTATTTTTAACTTTTTTGTAAACTTTCTCGGAAAATTTGGTTTGGCTTGAAACCATTTAAATCTGAGAGCTAAGGCAAAGATTTTTGCAGAATTTAAAGGTAACTTACCACATCTGCTTCGAGCTAATACGCTGTTTAAAAATACCAATTTCAAACTTATCTAAGTGCAGCTTGCCTCCTTGTAATTATACATTTTTATTGAGTCTGATGTGACATTAAGTGCATTTTTTCATAGTTTTTTTTCTTTTTTTTCCTTTCTTTCAGATAATTTTGCCCACAGAACAGCAGTCCGGCATGCACTAGCCAATGACAAAGACTGGCAGGGAAAATTCATCTCCCCAGCTCTCCCCTTGATAGAAAAGCAGCACAATGAGGTTGCTTATCTGGTACCCTGGTGCCAACTTGGGAAGCCTCCAAAAGAAGGGGGTGAGCTTATCTTCTCTTTTGCTGATTAAAGTTACTGATGCTGACGGACTAACAAAAAATGGCTTAAAGTTTAAACCAGGTATTACATGGTTTTATAACCCTTTATGTAACAAGCGCATGCACATACACCCATGTGAAAAGGGTGACGTAACACCGATGAGGGACAAAAGTTTTTAAGAAGGATTTTACACTAACTTACATCAGTCCCTGACGAGAGCCCTGATAGTTACGGTTGTGAAGAGGTGTGTCAATTGCCCAAATGAACATGCAAAATGGCAGCGCGGTAGTAGTGGTCAGAGTAGTCATCCCGGACTTGCTTTGTCCATCTGCAGTGAGAGGGCATTTCCTGGGGACACTGAAGACAATGATTGTTCTCTTTCACAGAGGTTTTTCTCTTTTATCAATTTGCTTTGATGTTACTGCTTCTTTTGCATAATAGTTTTCAGAAAAAAGAAAAATAATCCCTGCTTTTTAAAGATACGTGCAAGTCAAGCATACTTTGTAACAATCATAGATGAGGTGTAGGTGTCCTGTCCTGATGTATTTTAATTCTCTCTGTAGCAGATGTGGTATTAATAATATTGAGTGTTCCCCTATTTATGAACATTTGCAGACTTTGTTGCATGGAGTAATGTCAAACAGGCCTTCCTTTAGCCCTCAGCCTGTGCATACATACAGTAATCTTTGTTCTTTATTTCCCTGTGATTCTGAGTTTTATGCTGTTGCAATTGAATTTGAAAGCAGTCCAGTTTTTCTCTTAGAACTGAGGAGCTGACTTTTCAAACACTCCCTTCCCATTTTAGGTTATCTCTAGCCCATTGCTGGAGAATGAGACCAGACATACATTGCCATACGGCAAATGTCTCGCTTTCTATTAAAGCGTCAGCAATTGTGATCTAGAGTAACTACCTGGATGGAAAGGAGTTGGATAATGTGTCTCGTAGCAGGACTGGAGTTTTTCGGCAAATCATGCCATTTGTCTACGAACAAGGTTGATGATTATTTGGCAGAGCAGAGATGCTAGGCTAGTCCTGGTCTGTTGGTTAAGCCTTCAGCTCTTGCTGTGACCAACCGCCAGGAATCAAAGGGGTTTATAACGTCATAAACTAATGCCAGAAAACATTGCCAGTCTTAGAAAAGGTGCCTTGCATTGCTCAATGAGCCGTCCAAATCCCGCAAACACGTATGAGTATTTGTGATTTCTGCAAAGTAGTCTGAGTCTCCCCAAATTTCCGGGCAACACCGAAAATGGCTAAGTTGGGCTTAGTGTAAAGCCTTTTGTTCCTCAGGGTCCCGGTACTTACATTTGCACTTGAACTAGCTCTAGTTGGCGAGCTGCTTGCGTGTGTTCTCTGGGTGCTGTGAGAAGTTGTGGGGACGAAGGGGCAGTTCCATGTCCCACTGACCCGAAATGGCAGGGAATGGCAGTACTGGTTTCACAACAAACATCGTGGCCATGACACACTGTTTGAGAACCGGCACTATTAATTTGTATTTTGTTCCTTGAGGTCGTCTTTGCTTTTTCTTCCAGGAGTATATGAATGGGTTACTTTCCAGATGAAGCCTGGTGGGCCAGCATTGTGGGGCGAAGCGTTTCAAGCTGCCATCAATGCTCACGTCAACACAGGCTACACCAAGCTGATCGGTATTTTCCACACAGAGTATGGATTACTTAACACAGGTACTACTCAATTTCTGGTACAGACTTTGGCATGGGAAGGGGCAGAGGGAGAGGGGAAATCCCTTGTCCTGGATCAGGAGTGGCCGGCTTGATGAAAACGTTAGTGCGGATCACCAAAGTCCTGTAAACAGTCCCTGAACCCAGCATTGTGTGTTGGGTTATAGGCTTAAGCCAGGTGCTGCTATTTTAAAAGACTCTCAGATCTGATGTTAAAGAGTCAAACCTTTTAAAGGCTCAGCAAAGGATCATCCCACCACTTTCTTGCCTGGAGAATTGTTTCTGCTAACTGCAAGGCATCTAACAGGTGAAGGCAGACTGCTAGGACTTATGGCACATGTTGTATTGCAGCGTTACAGTATTCAGCTGACTTTTTATTCTTACTTTCTCAGTCCACGTGATCTGGTGGAATGAGAGCCCAGATCACCGGGCAGCGGGAAGGCACAGTGCCCATGAAGATGCCAGAGTGGTAGCAGCTGGTAAGAGATGATGGATGCAGAGAGCTCACTGGTGTTACCTGCATGCATGCTGAGAAAAGTAGTATTTCTCATTGGATTACTCTCTTAATTAAATATGCATTTAATTTCAGTGCGCGACAGCGTCAGATTCTTGGAGTCCCAGCAAAATATGCTCCTGATTCCTCTGCAATGCTCGCCGCTGAAGTAAGATCCTTCTTCTAAAGGATCTAACTGATGGCAGAAAGGACAAGATGGAAGTGTGGTCAGCAAGTGCCATCACATGGATTGTCATACCCTCATGAACTGAGCCAACTGTTCTTCAGTTTACACTAAATGGATGCAAAATGCTGATTGCTAGCAATGTAAATCAGTAAAATTTTGCACCCTCATAGGAATTGCTAAACAGAAGTTTATGGTGATGTTCCTACAACCTCAGGAAAAAGAACTCAAGCCATATCACTTATGGCATGAACCACACTTCATCTATCTTTTATTTTAACCCCTCAGTTCTTACACTTTTCTGCATAGGTAAATCACTTATCAAACCTAGTAAGTTAAGTGCTCTTTTCCAACATTACAGCTCAGGGCTAGTATCATTTTCATAACGTGCTTTGGTGACTCTTGTAATTATCACATCTTGGCTATTGCATACTGGTTTAAGAAGGAATGCCCCACATAACCGTTACCCAGTTATGTTTTAATCAGACTTCTCATTGGGATGCTTTGTATTAATTCTGAGTAATGTAAAACGTCAGTGTGGCTGGAATTGCCCCTAGGAGATGCTGCCGTGAAGCTGGTCAGGGGGCGGGTCCCGACGAAATCTGCCACAAGAAGAGCACTATCTTGGTACACTTCTCTTCAGCCCTTTCCTTTTCTGTTCAGTAAACACTTCCTCAGCACTGTGAATTACACACATAATGCTTTGCCTTAGGTATTTTAGTATTTGTTTAGGGTGCTGAAATTGGATTAGCCCTTCTTGTTCAACTGTGTAGTCGGACTCGGCTGATCTACACGTGCTTATGTTCTTTGAAATACTTTTTGCCAGACTGTTAAAAGCCAAATAAATTCTGATAAAGCATGAATTTTTAGTGTTTACAGCTCAAGCTTTTTTTTTAAACTGTGAAATTATGAACCCCATTCTCCAAGTGCAGCATCCGGCAGGTTTCACATTTTGGTGAACAGTCTTGATAATAGTTGCTTTAGAGCCAGTAAGCTGGAATGAATAGCAGCAGGGCAGAGGGCATTTGGGCTGAGAAGTCAAACTTGCGTTTTGTGTACAGCGGTACAGAGCACACTCTTCTGCAATTTAAAGGTCACTAACTGGCAGAGCACTTGGAAGGCTTTTCCACAGGTGAATCACTGACCTGCAATGAGCAATTGATTTCACATCTCTACTGCAGTATCTTTGTGCAGGCTGCCTAATGATAATTATTGGTTCTGTAAAGTGCATTAAGATCTCATGGAAAGCACTAAAAAAAACATCCGTAGGCAATTATGCTTATATCCAAGGTGCATGGATGGGATCCACCTGCTGCAGGAAGGGAGCATAACGGGTCCCAGCTGCTATACCCAAGTCTTCATACTCTCCTCCCTCCAACAGAGCCATCTTTAGCATTCTCAGGGTGGAAAAAGCACTACTTTAGAGACCACTGTCTTGTATTTTACAAATCAACTTTTTAAGATATAAATGGCTGATAAACCATCACTACCAACTTGATTCAGAATGTTGCCTTACAGCAGTTAACTCAAAGGAAGACTTTTTTTTTTAAATAACAAAAACACGGGCTGAAAAATGGGAGAGGGAATTAATAGGACTTTTCTTCTTCCTACGTGAGTGCAAAAATTAACTTGCTTTATTGTTTATTGGAATAAAAAGTAGAGGGGTATACTGGAAACAGTGTAATTTTTTTTTAGTAAAACTATTTTCCTTGTCACCAGCATTGAGAGTAAAGGATACTCAGGATGTTAGGAGGTGTGCTTTATCCCAAAGTTTGTTGTTTTCTGACAAGAGGTTGATAAATCAAGCACATTACCCAAAGCACCAGCTGGACACTAGATGAAAACAGAAAACCCAGGAAACTTTAACGGCTTCTATCTCAGGATGAATTTTCGTAATGAATGTAACTTCAAAAATTGGTTTGATTCTGGAACTTAATTGGTTGACAGCAGGACTACAGGAAGTAGAAGGCAAAATTTTAAAATGAGTTTTCCTTCGAGCAATCAGACCATTATTCTGCTTTATTTGTAAACTGCTGTTCAAAATCAATCTAGTATTAACTTGGGTGATCTTCCTTTAATTTGATATTAGCTAAGGATTAGGATATTTCAGATTCTTTATACTCAAAATAACATTTTGCTTTGTCAGTGAAAACAGGTAGAGGATATTTTTAGAAAAGAGGAGGAACAATTATCAATAGTTGCAACTTGCCGCGTCTCTCTAATGGTAATATTCAGAGGTAGGTATCTGACTTGGGATTTAAACATCCAGATAAATTTGTTATGCTCTACAACTAGATTTGACAGTTACACCAACGACTTTTTTCAGGATTTGCTGGAGACCTTTTTATTTACTAACTTTAGAAGCTTAAAGTAGCACTTGCCTTTCAAATCCCACTTACCTGAAAATAGTATGTGCCCCATGCTAACTCGTAGAGATACTGGAACTTGCTTGTACATTATGCATCACAGTTCACAACAAAACAAAACTGGGCAAAACAAGAGCTGCTAACAGCACTCCTCAAAAGAACATATGCAAAAATGACACTTCAAAGACCAATGGTGCCATAACAGCTTTATTTTTTACTTAATACAAGGCAATTAGAGTGCCTTTTAATACTTCACATAACAGTTATTAGCAAATACAAATATATATATATTTTTTTTGCTTTTAATGAAAATGTCCATTTAAGGATTTAACTTAGAAATTTCAGTTGTGAAATCTCTCTAGATTTTTGCAAAGTTAACAGATATTCCAGTGCAAAAATAGATCCCATTACAGATAGCATAAAGTGCTTGGAATGAAGGACCAACTATAATTCAGGAGGGAAGGATAAGCACAGTGGTGGTTTAACCATGGGGAAAATACAACAACTCCTTACTGAAATACAAATGTACTACAAAGAGGGATGCAACATGTCAATAGTAATAAAGTTTAAAATAAGTTAACACCTCAGTGCAGTTTCATTATCAAGAGTGGTTCATATACTGTAGTGACTCTAGAGTGATTTTTCCCCAACACACACTTGAAAGAGTAAATTAGTGGCTGTCTGAACTTATTCCATGACAAATCTTCATGTGAGAGTTGCATTATGCTGTCTGTTCAGTACAAACAAGACAGATCAGAACTGTGAAATAGTTCAGTTAATATCCATGTTCACTGTAACATTTTGTCACAGATAGCAGACTCTATATGAGCATGACAGTCACAGGGCAATAGGAATCAAGAATCTCTTTTTGGTGGGCTAAGGAAAGAGGATTATGATGTGACTGTCGTTTCCTGCTAAATTAATCTTAATTTACATGAGCAGTTACAAAGAGCAAACCCCAGCCCTTTCAGGACCAAATCTGAATCCTCCTAGAACTCGTTCTAGTTCTACATGCACTAGTTTGGTGCAGTGCAAAACTTAAGCCCTTCACTTCGGTGACTTAATGCTGATTTGTAATAGTGATTTTTAGCAGTGGTAAGCCTTCAATACATGCTATTTGTTTCAATGATACCATAACATATCTGCAGCCTGTTACAGAGAAGTCATGGCTGTAGCTCAGCTGTTAAGTAATTTTTCTGCACCTGGAAGTCTGGTGTATTCATCACCCTGTAACTCATCCCCATTGGGTGACGATGTCATAAAGGTAATAACAAAGCATGTTTTAAGTGAGGTATACCAATCCCCATTACACTCCTTTCTCAATCCCCTTAGCAATGTATTATACAGATTAAAAAAAAAAAAATAGTACGAAAAAGGCACTTCAGCAGAGCATGTAGTAAGCTCTTACTTTATCCCAAGGCAGGACACAGCAGGGACTGGGAACTTGTGCTAAATATTTAACTGTTTGTGTATTAAAAATGCTGAATTGGTCAGTGTTACCAAGTATACCTGGAAATACGTAATCAACCTTCTTCAGGCTCATGCCAGCCTCTTCACTGTTTGTTGGGCTGCTATGGGCATACACAGAAGAATATGGTCCGTGATTGATTTGTGGCGGAGTAGCATCAAGAACTAGTGCAGAACCTGAACTGGTGTTTAAGGCGGAGGCATGACATACAGGAATAGCCCAGGAACTGCACTTGGGTTCAAACCACAATACTGAACCTATTTCTGAATGTAGAAGTAAGACAGAGGGGCCCGAAAATGTATTAATGAAAGCATACTCTCCCATGACTGTTGTACAATGTGAACAAGAATTGGTTGTTCTTACCATCTAATATCCCCTGTAATATTGTTCTGGCTTTGTAAAACTTTAAAAAATTACTGATTGGTGTAACTGTAGCACTACTATTTTGAACTGTCTTGTTCTTGAAGGGGATTTTTACTGAAGCAGTTTGTCACATGTATAATAGGGGTGTATTCTCCAGTTAGGGATCACCTAATGACTGAAACTACACTGCACAACAGAAGCAGAAACTTACACGTTAATCTAATGTTATACCGGTTTCCAAACAGGAAAATTTTAGGTGAACAACTTGCAGTAATTGCAGATAGCGGCTGATTGCTAGAGTCTGGAACTTGGTCAGATCATGAATGTAGCTATCGCTGAATGGACAGAATGAGAGCATAGCATTGCAGACATAATGTAAAGAAATACTCTGGCTACAAAGATCAACTGAAAGCACTTTCAATCCCTAATTATGCTACCTACCTATTTAAAGTCATAAATAATACTGTTTAAAAAAAAAAAAATCTACATCTCATTTCTAGTTTTATCTGGCAAAGCCAGAAATTGCAACATGCTTGTGCTAAGCAGTAACTTCAGATGATGGGTACCTTTCTGGTGCAAAGCAGGGGTTAAAGAGCAGATACTACATATCTGAGTGACATCTCATGATCTAGAATTTGCTCTTGGCATTAGCAGCTTGTACAACTACTGAGTTTGCTGCTGTGGTCCAAACCCTAGGTCTGCTTCTCACCCACTTCCTCCTACTAGGTGTTCATGCAGCTGCTGCAGTACCTCAAAGGAGCAGGAGAGTACTTAACTACACAGAAACCTAGT